TCCTTTGCCAGGTGAGTCCTCGTTCCTCTCTTGTATGGGACATATGACAAGTCATCCTGTTTGTCTACTCGTAAAAAGAAAACCATACTGCACCAAAGAAGATATGCAGACAACAAGCAAGCATGAGAAATGATGTTCAATATCATATGTCATTAAGAGAACTGTAGATTAAAGCAAAAATGCGGTGCCACTGCCTACCATTAAAATGACCGATATCTAGAACACTGATAATACCGCAAGCTGATGAGAATGTGGAGTGACTGGAACTTATTCATTGTTGGTGGGAACACAAAGTTGTACTGCTACCTTGGAGGACTGCATGGCAGTTTTTCTTATAATATTAAACACACTCTTATCACACAATCCTGGCACTGTGCTCCTTGGTATTTACCCAAATGAGTTAAAAACTTAAGCCCACACAAAAACCTGCATGTGATGTTTATAGCAGCTTTATTCATAATTGCCAAAATTTGGAAGCAACTAAGATGTCCTTCAGTAGGTGAACAAATAAACTTCTAAGCAATGGAATATTATTCAGTCCTAAAATTAAAATGTGCTAACAAGCCATGAAAAATCATGGAGGAAACTTAAATGCATATTACCAAGTGGAAAAAGCCCATCTGAAAGGGCCACCTAGTATATGACTCAAGCTTTATGACATTCTAGAAAAGGCAAAACTATGGAAACTGTAAAAAGACAAGTGGTTTCCAGGGGTAAGGTGGGGAGGACAGGCAGAGCCTGAAGGATCTTCAGGGCAGTGGAACAATTCTGTAAGATCCTACAGTTGTGGGTACATACCACTAGTCATTTGCCAAAACCTATAGAATGTGCAGTACCAAGAGCAAACCCTCCCCTGGATTAGGACTGGGTGATAACGTGTAACTACAGGTTCATCTACTTAACAGACCCACCACCAGGCCCAGGATGCAGGTAGCAGGGGAAGCCATGTGCATGCAGGGACAAGGAGCACAGTGAAACGCTCTGTCCCGTCCTTTCAACTCTGGTGAGAACCTAAAACTGCTCTAATGTCTATTAATGAAAAAGAAGAAGCCAGGCTTGGTGGCTCAGCCTGTAATCCCGCACTTTGGGAGGCTGAGGTGAGTGGATTGCCTGATCCCGCGGGTTTGAGACCTGCCTGGGCAACTTGGCGAGACCTCATCTCTTCAATAAATCAAAAATTAGCTGGGCGTGGTAGTGCGCGCCTGCAGTTCCAGCTGCTCAGAAGGCTGAGGCGGAAGGATCGCCGGAGCCCAGCAGGTTGAGGCTGCGGTGGCCGGGAGCGGCCACTGCACTCCAGTCTGGGCAACAGAATGAGACTTCAACTCAAAAAAAAGAGAATGAGTGATGTGAAATATGACATAAAGCAGGAGTTCCTGAAAGTAACATTTCTTTGTTTATTTTACAATGTAGGTAAAGTCTTTTTATCCATAATAAAAATTATTTTAAAATTTTTGCTTTGTAAATAAAATATAACATTTGGTTTCAAAAAAGAATATAGAAAGAAAGCAATAATTATCTAAAATTCTACCACTTCAATAACCACTATTAACATCTTGATAACTATGCCTTAATGTAGTTTTTGATGCCTATGTGATATACTATAATAAAAACTTAGTTTGTTTATTTTTAAGCCATCATTAAAATTATAATATATTGAAAAACAAATAGTTCCTCAAATTATATATATAGCTTTGTAAATTATGTTATAAGTATATATAATATTTAAAAAAAATAAATATATATATATTTAAAACAATACATATGATACTAATTAATGGAAAGTTTTCACAGGGAGAATTGTATGTGAGAACATTTTATTTTGTTTTATAAAAATGGCACTTAACACTGCAGGTATATAGTTCCATTAATCTTATTTATGAGAAAAATTAATCTTTGGAAGCAAGGCGAAAACTCAATAAAAATATTCTAGAATTCCACCTAATCAGCAGTTCTAAAACAAATCTTACTTTAGTACAGATAGATGAATGCCACATTGGATTATGCCAGGAGTTTTCTGGACCAACACAATGCCTTAGAGGAATACAAGATGTGGTTTAGTAAGACATCCCTCTAGAGACTGGATAGGTCTCTATCGATCACTCCCCTCAACTGGGGAGAACCAAGCACCTTTTGTCCAGAAGATGAGCCAAAACAAAGGGTGTAAAATTTCAGTCTTCATGACTCCAGGGGGGAGGGTATTGTTCAAGTTTTAAGAGGCAGATTAGACGATGATTCTAGGAAGTGGACGGTCAAAAAGACAGGAGTCCACAGCCTCCACACCTCTTTCTTTTCTTTCCATGAGGTTCAAGCAGCGAAGGCTCCGGCCCGTCACTCCCTTAACTCACAGAGGCTTTCTCCTCTTGACAGCACACTGACCAGACCAGCCTAAGGGAGTCTCAGGCCTGTGTGGGAAGATGGGGGGGGCTGGGAGCAGAGCGGGCGGAGGAACCGGGAGCGGGAAGCCAAGACGTCATGGCAAACGCAGCCCTCATCCTCCGTCTCCTTCCTTTTGGCTCCATTAGCTGTGGCTACCTTTTGCACCATGAGTCTTCCGAAATTTATGCTTAAAATGCCAGAAAGCCATTCACGCCAACCATGTGACACACCAGCAATTCCAAAGGGAAAGGAGAGTTTATATTATAATGAAGCCTAGGCTGCTATATTTTTATAAGGAATTTGAGGTCAAAGCCATTATAAGCAACTGCTGTGCATGCTATTACTCTCTGTACATATGTTTTCTTTACTACAATAACCTCTAAGGAAAAGAATTGATTATACCAAAGCTGATTCTAAATATTCTTGAGTGTCCCAGCAAAATCCTTTGTAACAGTATTCAGATCCCCCCAAATCTTCCTTTCACTGTTCCTTGAACCATCTCTTAGGCACTCGGGTATCAGTTGTTCTCACTATAGTTTCTAATAAACCAAACACCAAAGCACAAGAAACCAGGTAGGTGAGTGGTAAAAATGATAAAAAATGATAATATATCAGCTTAGTGAGCTACAGAGGAGACTACAAGCCAGGAAAAGACTGAAGCCCAATTTTATACAGGAAAATAAATAGTTATCTAAAACAACGAAGCTTAGAATTTAAAATAATTTTAATGACTTTAAGAAACTGAGTTGTAGACACCTTCCATGATGTTTCATGAATGATGGCTATAAACAATGAAAAACCATGGGACAAAGCACATATTTATAGACCATGGTTCTTAAAAAGTAACAATGGTGATATGGTTAGCAGATTTATTAATAATACAAAGAAGATTTAGAAAACTCTTTAGAATACATTTTACCAGAAATGTCATAATACTCAATATACTTACAAAACCCTGACAATTATATATGTAACACCACAGGTATTAGATAATCTTTGCAAAACAAAGATTTCAATTCATATTCATACACACATAATAGCCACTTGGCAAACCACAATATATATGTCAAAATGTATATATTTATACATACACTTGGTTATTAGTATATTCAAATTAGGGATCCATATACAACAAACTGGTTATCAATATACAACATGCACTGAAATTATTCTCTATGTAAAGCACATAAAAGAAGCAGGCTGGGCTCGGTGGCTCAGCATGTCATCCCAGTGCTTTGGGAGGCCCAGGTGAGTGGACTGCCTGAGCTGCGGCTTCGAGACCCGCCTGGGCAACTTGGCGAGACCTCGTAAATTAGCCGGGTGTGGTAGCGCGTGCCTGTAGTTCCAACTACTCGGAAGGCTGAGGCGGAAGGATCGCCAGAGCCCAGCAGGTCGAGGCTGCGGTGGCCGGGAGCGGCCACTGCACTCCAGTCTGGGTGACAGAGTGAGACTCCAACTCAAAAAGAAAGAAAAAGCAGGTCTGCATGCTCTGAAACCAATGAGTTTATATTCCACACAGAGGGTCAGAAGACACTGTATCAACTTTATAATTGTAAAGAGCATACTGTCTTCTGGAGCCAATGAGGACAGCTGGCACTGAGGGCCGTTGAGGGGAGCGCTCTGAGTCGGATACATCTGTCTCATGTGTGCTATGTTTCTTTCACTGGGCAAACTTGGTGGGATTTCAGGATTCGGGGACACTCCCAAGCACCGTCGACAACACTAGCCCTCGCTTAAGCTGAAATCAGGCTCATGACAGGCTGGACCTTTTGAAGTCCCTTCTAAGGACACCGATGTGGTGGATGTGTTTGTGGCTCAGACTCCTCAGAGCAGGGGCACATGTGAGGAAGCTGATCACAGGCACAGCACTTTAGGAACAATGAAATGTTTACTCTTGTTAATTCTACTATGATGCCAAGTGTTCGTTTCCACCATTAGCTAACATCCAAATCAAAACAAAGCACTAAAGACAGAAAAAATGCAAACTCTGGGCTTCAGGAGACCTGGAGTCAAATACCAGTCAAATACGACGTGACTTAATTGTGTGACTTGTGCTGAGTTAATTAGCCTCTCTGCACTTTATTTCCCTATTTATGAAAATAAGATAAAAATAACTATCTTATGGTGTTGTAGAGAATAGGTTACGTACCACATGCAATATCTAGCACAGTGCCTGGTACATAGTAGGCACTCAATCAATTTAAGTAAATTTCTGTGTATTTCCATTGTGTCCTCAAAGCAATTCATGGTTTAGTATAAAACATTGAATGAATTTTACACATAGCATTATCGCTGTTCAATAAATTAAATATTTCTTCATGTTATCAACCACTGAGAAATGGTATTGTATCAATGGCAATAAACAAATATGAAAAACTTGTATATAGACAAAGCATAAATCATAAAGTGATGGTGGTATGTTATTAATGCACCACAAAAATCATATTTGTCCTACATTATTATATGATGTTTTCACACTGAGATAATATAAAGCAGAATATTAATAGCACCATGGAGGATATTCGGGAGGCACTGATACATTCTTAATAATGCTATCTAAGTTATAACTTGAATATCTTCAATAAAAATATTTCAAAGAAAAATGATAGATGAGTTAGACTTACATGCTTCCAATATGCCAGCTTTCCTTTTGCATTTGTTTCAGGCTTGAAAAAGATATCCTTAAGAAGCTCGTCTTCATATCCTTTGGTTATGCAAATCCATTTTGTTTCATATTCTCTAATAATTTTCACCTGCTGTTTTTTACATAAAAACAAGGGGCTAAATATAAGGAGAAAAAACAATTCATTAGTGTTTTGCTTCCCGAAATAAGGACATGGGAAAACGAGCTACGGATTCGCCTACCTCTTAGAAATCGTGGTGGTAAATTTGGTGTAATACCGTATCTGTTTTCCTGTTATTACTAGACAACGCTACTTAGGGACTAAGGCCGAGTCATCAACATTCACCAAGGGATGAATGAGGGCTGAGGAAATGTGGCTGCTCTGAATCCACAAGCAATTCTGTACTCACATCTGGCTAGAATTGTAAAACATAGTGGCAGGGAAAGCATGGCTAAATCACCTGCAGAAGCACAGAATAACCAGTGTGAAGTCTTTTTGTTTATCCGCCCTAGTAAAGAAGTAACTTTTTTAATGTGGTGACAATAATTACTATACCACAGAATTATATTTGTGCTATTTTACAAATACTAGAGTAAATATTCTAGAGCAGGGCTTTCCAACAGACTATAAGCCAGAAAATAATTTTAAACTTCCTATCAGTCACTCTTAAAAATGGTGAGAAAGGGACGTTAATTTTAATACTGTGCTTTATATCCAAAATATCACCTGATAAATGGCATCTACAAGCTAGCATCATACTTCCTGGTAAAACGCTTAATGCTTTCCCCCTATGACCTCAGACAAAAGAAGAATGTCCTCTTTCACCAAACCTATTCATCACTGTACTAGAACGTCTACCTGGTCTAATAAGGCAGTAAAAAGAAAACCACAGACCAATCTCACCTTTGAATAAAGATGCAAAAATTCTAAATATTAGTGAAAAGAATCCAGCAAAGAATTGTAACTCTAGGATCGCGTATTGCAAAAAATTTATATCAATGCATTAGTGGAGTAAAAATGTATGACTATATAAATAGATGCAAACAAAGGCATTAGATAAAATTTAGCAGCTAATCTTTGTTTAAACGTTTTTGAAGAGAGGATCAAAATAAACCACATCAATATTTTCGAGACGATTTACCAATGTCAGTAACATCCGGTCTGTGGGCTAAAAATAGCAAAATCATGGGAAGTAAAACGAGCGAGGTAGAAAGTTTGCTGTTGCCATTATTATTCAGGAACAGAAGTCCAACAAAACTAACCAAGGAAAGCAATCTTTCCGCTTCGCGGGTGTTTAAAGTGGCTCCGCCCATTCACTCCTTCATTTAAGACACTTCCACTGATGACATGCACATCAGTTAGGGTCGAGTGAAGTCCGAGAATACAGTGCGTGATGGCTTCACTGAGCCAGAAGCTTCTCCTCCGCCACGCTGAGCAGTCCAGGCTAGGGCAGCTCTGCCCTCCCAAGGGGTCCCGTCCTGTTCTTCCAGACCCCAAGGCACGTCTCGGCCCATGGAAAGGGGAGCCAGGAGAGCCAGGGGTGCCACAACCGCTGAAGCACGCAGAGCAGAAGCTGTGCTCACTCCTTGGGCTCGCTTTCAGGTGCGACGGAAGATGTGGTCAGAGGCACACAGCCACAAGAGGAAGCGGGGCTCTCCCGTGGTCAGCCAACTGCCAGAAGGAAGGGGAGGGAGAGATGATTGGGGCGAACAGGTGCCCTGTGCGGAGAAGAGAGTCCCGTCACCACGAGGGTGATGTGCTCTGATAAGCAGAGACAAAGGATACAGCAGTTAAACACAAAGTACTAAGCTGGTTTTAACCCAGGCCGGGCTGGACGGTATTGCTGAGAATAGACAGGGCGTAGTAGGCATCTCAGAAAAACGTTCTCGTCAGAGCCAACACCAAGAGCAAAGGACCAGGCACAAGAATGCCTCGCGGGGCAAAGCCCACGAGGCGTCTGAAGGGCAGAAAGAAGGTCACTGAGAGGGCGTGTCTCCGTGACCTTTCTGTGCAGAGCTCCCAGCAGAGGAGTGGCAAGTGACCTCTGTCAGCGATTCGAATCGACACAGAAAGCAGAGTGCTGGTAAAGGTAATTGTGTAATTATTCAACAGCATACATTCATACTTCCCCTCCTTTTTTCCCTTAACTAATTTAAAAACCAATTACAGAAACCTATACATACATAAACATTATATATACGTAAGAGTGCACCACGGGACCTATAATATGTAGAAATATGATGTCACTGACAGTAGTAGCTCAAAGAGGCAGGTGGGAGGAAGGTTGTCACATATTAGTGAAACAGCACCAGATGGTGTGGCTCAAGTTCACAGAAATGAATGAAGAGAGCTAGAAATCATAAATAGGGCTGTGAAAAGAGCAAACCGCGTGAAGATGTCCTGTGCTGCCTTTCTCTTCTTGGTGTCTTTGAAAGACATCCACTTCAATACAGTCATAATTATAGTGACAACCTGTTGGGCTTATAACAAGCATAAATGTAATATGTATCATACTGATAGCACAGAAAGAGGGAAAATGGAATAATGCTCTACAGAAGTAATGTTTCCATATCTCACTAGGCATAGGTTAGTATAAGTTGCGAGTAGACATGACCAGTTAAAGTGTATGTTGCAAAGTCTGAAAAAAGTGACAAGAAAACACTAAAAATATGTAATTAAAATGCAATTGAAGAAATTCAGACGTATACTATAAAATACACACTAATGCAACACGAAAGAAGAAAGCAAAATATGAGCCAAAACTGTGACTAATGTTAAGGTTTAGTTTAATTCTCTTATATTTTTAATAGTTAATTTTATGTGGCTTCTATTTTCAATATAATTTTAACTATTTTAATTTTCTTATTTGAGATACTGTCTTATTTAATGCTTTGTTTTTATAATGAATGACAGAAGGTAAATTCATAGAATTAGGGGAGGCACAAATCATTTTCACAACCTGCAGATGTGAAAATCTAATTTTCTCAGCAGAAATATTAACTCTTTCATGAACTGCTTGAGAATTCATTCATTCAAAAAGCACTGCTCTAGACTCTAGGAACATATTAATTAAAAATTCAAAGTTATTGGTCTTATGAAACTTATACTAGAGAAACTTCTCAATGGAAGATTATTTTTCTCTTATCATAATCAGTTATAAAGACAGAATTACATTTTTTTTTTTTTTTGAGTTGGAGTCTCACTCTGTCACCCAGACTGGAGTGCAGTGCGCTCCAGCAATCCTTCCACCTCAGCCTTCCAAATAGCCAGAACTATAGGCATGCGCTACCACACCCGGCTAATTTTTGTTTGCTTGTTTGTTTGTTTGTTTTTTGAGTTGGAGTCTCACTCTGTCGCCCAGACTGGAGTGCAGTGGCCACTCCTGGCCACCGCAGCCTCGACCTGCTGGGCTCCGGCGATCCTTCCGCCTCAGCCTTCAGAGTAGCCAGAACTACAGGCGTGCGCTACCACACCCGGCTCATTTTTGATTTATTGTAGAGAGGAGGTCTCGCCAAGTTGCCCAGGCAGGTCTCGAACCCGTGGGCTCAGGCAATTCACTCACCTCAGCCTCCCAAAGTGCAGGATGACAGGCTGAGCCACCGACTCCGGCCCAGAATTACATTTAAAATGAAGTTTGAAGAAAAAATACTTCATCACGAGAATGTTTTATTAATATTTCCATCTTATCATGTTTTTCACTTGAGGCTTCCCAGATGACATTCTGGCTTGGGAGCAGGCTGCTGCTGCTTCTGTTTTTTTGTTTTTTGTTTTTTTTTAAGTCTAAAGATGTGGGGTACAATTCAGGGTTAGGTATACAATGTTCATTATGCAGGTAACATCGTCGAGGTGTACCCCGCCCTCCCCCGGCAGTTTCCCTCAACTGTCATCCCATGCCCCTCCCCTGGCAGTTTCCCACTACTGCCAATCCCTTTCTTATAGTATTATGATAACTGTTCAAGGTCCACTTATAAATGAGAACATGTGGTACTCGGTTCTTTGTTTCTGTGATAGATTGCTCAGTATTATAGACTCTAAGAATCCATGCGCATGGCTGCAAAGTTCATAATTTTGTCCTTCTTTGTGGCTGTGTAATAGTCCATCATGTACATGTACCACATTTTGAAAAATCCAGTCCTCTTTCAATGGGCAGCACGGGTGGCTCCACACTTTTGCTGCTGTGAATAGTGCTGCAACAAACATGTACGTGCAAGTGTCCTTTTCAGAGTGATCTGAGTTCCTCTGGGTATATTCCCAGTAGGGGGACTGCGGGGTCATATGGAAGGTTGACTTTTAGATCTTTTAGAAATTGCCACACTGTTTTCCACAGAGGTTGTACTGGTTTGCTCTCCCACCTACAGTGTAGAGGCGTTCCCTTTTCCCCGCATCTTCTCTAGCGTCTGGCAGTCCTGACTGGAGTTAGGTGGCATCTCAGTGTGGTTTTAATTTGCATTTATTTGATGACTAGTGAGGCTGAGCATTTTTTTTCATGCATGTGTTGGCTGCTCATCTGTCTTCTCTTAGAAGTGTCTATTCGTGTCTTTTGTCCACTTCGTAATGGGGCTGTTTGTTTTTTCTTTTCGGCACATCTGAGTTCCTTGCAGATCCCAGATCCACAGGGAATGCTCTTCTTAATGACCAAATGTCCTGAACTGCCTGGGTGTTTTAGCAGTTGAAACTCTCATGGCAAAATAGAAGACGAGTTGAAAAACATGAGGTGACTGTGAAACTTGGGTGTGCCTTCAACGATTGGCTTTATTCGTCCATGAGGATCCTTGATGAACAGTATGAGGAAGTCCAGACCTCGGTATCAAGGAAACCGAGGCAGAAGAGCAGGGGAATCCTGGATCTCTCATGGAAGCACTCAGAACAACTCTAGCTTTCCAGAAATGAAGGCTCAAGACAGGAAAATTTAAAAAGTCGTGGCATACACCAGAGATGAACTTGGGGGTCATGAATCCAGTGACTTGATCAGCAAACTTCATTTGAAAATGCATGGATATGCAGATTTCACTGGGAATAATTCCCATAGCTTTATTCAGGTTCTCAAAGTAATCTGTGACACCCCCCATTAAAATAAACTTTGAGATAGATATTAAAATAACCAAGAATGTTCTAAAAGAACAGAAGAATCAAAATAAGTAAAAGTAAAAAGCCAAC